GTCCTCGTTCTCTGTTCTGGCAGTACGTCCTGGCTGTCGGCAGCTCCGTCTTCCACGCCATGTTCTACGGCGAGCTGGCCGAGGATCAGGACGAGATCCGCATCCCCGACGTAGAACCGCCGTCCTTCCTCGCCATGTTGAAGTGCGTCAACCTTTGATTTTGTTTACCTCGCTACACAAACACCCGACCACTCACCCACAACCTTTGCCTCCGCAGGTACATCTACTGCGATGAGATCGACCTTTGCGCCGACACGGTGCTCGCCACCCTCTATGCTGCCAAGAAGTACATCGTACCTCATCTGGCACGAGCCTGCGTCAACTTCCTGGAGACCAGCCTGAGTGCGAAGAACGCCTGCGTGCTGCTGTCGCAGAGCTGCTTGTTCGAGGAACCCGACCTGACGCTGCGCTGCTGGGAGGTGATCGACGCGCAGGCCGAGCTCGCGCTGCGCTCTGAGGGTTTTTGCGACATCGACGTCCAGACGCTGGAGAGCATCCTGCGGCGGGAAACGCTCAACGCCAAAGAGATGGTGGTGTTCGAGGCGGCGCTGAACTGGGCCGAGGCCGAGTGTCAGAGGCAGGATTTGCCGCCAACCATCGAGAACAAGCGCCTGGTGCTGGGTAAAGCCATCTACCTGATCCGCATCCCCACCATGGCGCTGGAGGACTTTGCCAACGGGGCGGCGCAGTCTGGCGTGCTCACGCTCAACGAGACCAATGACATCTTCCTGTGGTACACCGCCGCCAACAAGCCCGATCTGCTGTTCTGCACCAAACCGCGTAAAGGCCTGTCGCCGCAACGCTGCCACCGCTTCCAGTCCTGCGCGTACAGGAGCAACCAGTGGCGGTACCGAGGTCGCTGCGACAGCATCCAGTTCGCGGTCGACAAGCGCGTCTTCATCGCCGGCTTCGGCCTGTACGGCTCCAGCTGCGGCTCGGCCGAATACAGCGCCAAGATCGAGCTGAAGCGCCAGGGCGTACCGATGGCCCAGCGCATCATCAAGTACTTCTCCGACGGCTCGAGCAGCACCTTCCCCGTGTGGTTCGAGTACCCGGTGCAGATCGAGCCGGACACTTTCTACACCGCCAGCGTGGTGCTGGACGGCAACGAGCTGAGCTACTTCGGCCAGGAGGGCATGACCGAGGTGCAGTGTGGGAAAGTGACCTTCCAGTTCCAGTGCTCCTCCGACAGCACCAACGGCACTGGCGTGCAGGGAGGCCAGATCCCCGAGCTCATCTTCTACGCCTGACGGGCAGAACGGAGGGCGCCGCAGAGATTCCTGCTTCACTGCCATGTTGACTTTAAAACTGTGGAGTTCTCAGGAAGTTGCCGAAGGAAAGACGGACTCGCTGAGGCTCAAAGACGGAACGACGGCGACTCGATGGAAACATGAAGAAACAAGAAGACGTCCCTCCAACACCGCCTGTGTTCATCGTCTCCGTTACGGAGGAGTTGGAAGAAAAGACGATGGCTTCAGGTTGGTCGGGACTACTTTCAGTGGCAGATTAATCCACAGCTGTCAGACATCACACTACACCTGTGCAATCCTGTCTGAAAGCCCCGTTTAAGGGTCTTCTGTTAGTCCACAGAACCACAGAGGACTTCCACAAGCTGTCGATCACATCTATTGATTAAACACTAAAACTACAATCAGTCAGATATTCAGGTCACCAGATAAAAGCAAGTACAGACGAGTGTGTTTGCTTTTAAAAGCGACTGAGATGATCGAACACATCTTTTGTTACTCACGGTGGACGTTAAGCAGATAAAGAGACACAAGCAGTGATTTGACTTTGTGTGGCTGCAGTCTGAATGTGAACATCAGCACTGAAGCAGGAGGACGATATGTTCCCTGTAGTCGGATTCAGCTGTTTGTGGGAGTTTTTCCTCTGAGCTCTGTCAGGATATTTCGCTCTCTGATCTGGTTACTGAGCGTTTGATATAAACGTTCACCAGCTCAGCTCCGCGCGACTTTAAAATCCTGAAATTCTGCTCCAGATGTTTTCACCTGAACTGTTTTTCTGCTCCACCCTCATGTTGGGAAGCTTTATTACAGTTCAGGTCTCACTGCGCCCTCTTGTGGTGCCGAGTGGTATTGCACGACAGCCCTGTTTGAGCTTCAGCACAGCATCTGTTTGTTTCTGCTGAACGCTTTGTTCGTTTTAGGTTTTAAACTTTGTTTTTAAACACAGGAATTTCCAATAAATACATTTTGGTGCAAACGTGCCATAAATAAATAAATCAATCAATAAATAAAGCGGCGCACAAATGCAGCTGTTTAATTGTGGTCGGTCAGACAGTTTCTTCTCCTGGAGCAGAGCTTTAAGATTTTTCAGGAACTTGGGGACTTCTTCCAAACATAAACTGGGAGGACTGGGCGAGCAGCGTCTCTGAGGGTTTTCAGTTTGTTGCCTTAAAGAAAAAGTTTGAATTTAATAAAATTTGTAAAAGTGAGATTCTTAAACATTCCTGCTGTTGATGAAGGAATCAAAGTTTTATTTTAGTTTGTGTTCGTGGACGGTTCATCACATTCCTGATTTTCTGTTTCTGATTTTTTTGAAGCAATTAAAAGGACGTTTCACTGAAATGTTCCTGTGATTTTAACTCTATTTAAGTTGTTTGTAGTTTAAAATCCTCGGGCTCTTACTTTGAAAATCACATGTGTACCTATGTTATCCTAGGTTTTTGTTGAAGGTGTGTAAATGGATTTCTGTGACAGACACTACTCGTCTTCCTCTTTTTCTTTGTGTAATCTGAAAAATTACTTTTTTAATGATTGTAGACGAAGAAAAAGTTTGTTTGTTTGTTTCCTGTCGTCTGTTTCAGCCAGAATGTGCAGTGAGTCAGCGGCCTTATCGATGTGTTGTTACTGTGACACATTTGGAAATAAAAGGTTTGATGGATTTTTCTCTGAGTCTCAGTTTTTGTCTCACGCTGAAAAAAAATCACATCTTAACGTTTCAGAGGGAAGAAATGATTCCAGCGAGTCTGTGAATGAAAAATATAATAAATTCACATAAAAAGTTGAATTTTACTGCATTTCCATTAACTTTGATAAATGAATCAAACCAAAGTTTGTGCAAGAAAGCACAAAAAATGAAATTTGAAGTAAGAAAAATGTTTTCTGATTAAATAAATTATGAAAAATAAACATTTGATTCATTGTTTACTTTTTATCAAATATTTTCTGGTAACTGTCAGGCAGGAAAAGGTCATGAAATCCAAACTTTGAAAGAAAGAATCCAGTTTATTTCACATGATTACAGATTACAAACATCAGCATAAATGTTTGGTAAACGAGAAAAACAAAAACTTCTATACATTAAAAATTACAAATGTAAAGAGTAAAAATGGTTAAATATTCTAATTTGTGAGATTGAATGAAATCATAAATAAATAATCTGACCTTTGGCTCGATGTGAATGAACAAACATTTACCCTCAGTGTTTCTACATATAATAACGTGTGTTATAACCTATAACGCTTTCCTGTCACCTGGTGAAATATGCTGACGTCACTGCTGTCAGGCCCTCACAGCACCACGGCCGCTCTGCAGGAGTTTGCAGAGCGGTGTGACAGCTCCAAACTTGAATGTGAGCAAAACCAAAGAGGCGTCGCCCAGAGGGGAGGCGTTGAAATGCGGTGGTGACCTTCTCCAGCAGGCAGAGGGATCTGGCTGCTTCAGTCACGGGAAGCCAGTGGAGGGAGCTGAGGAGTACAAATACCTGGGAACCATCCTTGACAACCTCCTGAGATTCTCTGCCAACACAGAGGAGATTCTCAGGAGGTGCCACCAACAGCTACACCTCCTTAGGAAACTCAACTCCTTTGGAGGCAGCACACCCATCATGATGACTTTTTACGATGCCTTCCTGGGAAGCATCATGACCTCCATCACCTGCTGGTTCCCCTCCCTCAGCCTTCATACAGGAACAGACTGCAGCGCTCTGCATCACTGTGCTCTACAGTCATTGGCCCGTCAGAACTCTGACAGGTTTTCAGCCAACAGGCCTCAGACAGGCAGCCCAAATCATCAACGACCCCTCTCACATTCTTCACCCCGCATTTCAGTGCCTCCCCTCTGGGCGACGCCTCCGCTGCATTTCCTGCAGGACTGAGAGGAGGAGCGCCACCTTTGTTATTATCGCACTCTTATTGCCTGTTTATGCCTGGCCTTATCTTCATCGTCATGCTGCTCTGTCGTATCTTAGTCGGGGATAATTAACATTTTCTGATTCGGATTCTTTTCGTCTGACCTGATAAATCCGCTGCATGCGCGCGCTCTGTTTGTCCCTCCGCTCCTCCCGTCCTGGCTTTACGAACCCGGATGTTGTTGGAGCGGACTCTGGGTGCAGAGTCCAGTCTGGAGCCGAACTCCGCTCCGCGAGTCTCCTCTCAGCTCCTCGCTGCTCCTCCGCCGTCATGCACAGGCTGAAGATCATTTCCGGACACCTGAGTCTCGGCGGCTCGTCGAACTTCAGGCGGGACTTACGGAGGTCGGATTGCGGCTCGGCGGCAGCGGCGAGCAGTCGCAGCTCCCCGGAGGACGTGGTGGTGGTTCACGGCCGCAGGACCGCGATCGGAAAGGCCAAAAGAGGAGGCTTTAAGGTGAGTGCAGGTTACCTGCCAGCTGTGGCGAAGGTGAGGCCAGAAAACCACGAAGTTTGCTTTACGGTTATTTTCACTGGTTTTAAGCTGCAGTTCAGAGGAAATTTAATATGACACCGAGTTAAGTCACTTTATCATTAATCTTACTTTTTATTTCAGATTATTTTCTTTATTTAAGCAGTTTGTAGGTTCAGAGGCGCCGCGCAGCTGCTGTTTGATCAGGTTTACATGGATATAAAGACAAAGAAAATTCACACAGTGTTTTATATATAAATTATTTGAATGTGTTGTTTGATATCACGCAGATTATTTTCTGTGAGGCTGACAGCATGTGGTCAGGATGACCTTTGACCTCCAGTCACAGCGGGCCTTTAAACGTGTTTTGCTGTGGTGGGATCTGGAGTGCAGGACTTTATTTATTTTCTTCTTCGTTGGTGTGAATAAAGTCCTGATTAACTCTTTAACCTCCAGGACACCACGCCTGACGAGCTGCTGAGCGCCGTGATGTCGGCCGTGCTGAAGGACGTCGGACTGTCGCCTGAGCGGCTGGGAGACGTCTGCGTGGGTGAGGCTTTGTCGTGTCTGCTCTGATGTGTCGGCTGACTCACCTGTCTGCAGGTAGGTGAAGATGTAACCTCTGTCTGTTCAGGTAACGTGCTCCAGCCCGGCGCCGGCGCACTGATGGCCCGAGTGGCTCACTTCCTCAGGTGAGTCTGACGCCTCTGACTCTGTCCTGCTGTTTGTCTGCGCTCCTCACCGCTCCGTCCTCCTTTCAGCGGCTTCCCTGAGTCGGTGCCCGTCTACACGGTGAACCGGCAGTGCTCCTCCGGCCTGCAGGCGCTCTTTAACGTAGCAGGTAACGCCGCAGTGCTCCCACTAACCCAACCGCCCGGTTTTTACCTGAATGACCGACTTCTGACCCGTGTGTGCAGGAGCCATCAGGAGCGGAGCCATCGACCTCGGCCTCGCCTGCGGGTGGGTTTAACACTCGATCCTGATGTTGTTAAAAAATTGCTCAAGTAAAGTTGAGAGTTTTAAAATATTTTTCATGTAAACAGGTGAAGTTTACTTTTTTAAATAAACATAATGAACTATTTTACTTTTGTTAGCTAATTTATAAAAGTTACTATGCCATAGATGTACGGAGGCCCAGTGCTGCCAATAATTACCTCATAATTCATTAAAATGTTTATTATAAACAGTGAGTGAGGAGACGGTCGTGATTTTAAAAAGTCCAAATGTTTTTTCTTCCTCTAAAAATTCTAATTTGAAATAAAATTAAGGAGTCAGGAAAATTACAGGTTAGACACAAACAGATAATTTAGATTTGAACTTTAATCTGACATAATAATAATAATAATATCAACAATAATATCAATATCAATAATAATAATAATAATAATATCTGAATTTATAAAAAGTCACATTTGATTTAAAAACTAAACACAAATTGATCAAAAGTACATTAAAGTATGTGGACATACCATAATAATCCTCAGCAGATCACAGTCATGGTCATACACTGGGATTAAGCTCCTATGGCAGCGTGTGTTCATGTTAACAGTTTTTATGACACACTGACAGAAGTGATGCGTTTCCTGTTTGTTTGCAGCGTGGAGAGCATGTCGCTGCGAGGGATCGGTAACCCGGGCGACCTGAGCTCCAGGCTGATGGACAACGACAAAGCCAGGGACTGCATCATTCCCATGGGGTGAGACGATTTATAATTCCAGATTATGATCGTCGACGCACCGAGCATCGGCGAATCAGATTGCAGATCCTCTCCAGCTGAGAGGAGGACGTTTCAAATGATTTGTTGTTGTGGTTTCATAATTTATTGTTCCTGATGTTGCTGATAAACACTAAATATTCTCACACAGTATGTTTGACGTTCTGATCATAACCAGCTGCAGAAATGAGTCTGTGAGTCACGTCACTCCTGACAGGCGTCATTTTACTGGTCACCATCTATAAAAAGCTGAAATTTGACTCCCAGCTGAAATGTTAACTGTTATTTTTGTCTTAACTGAGGCGTGTTTGTTCTGCAGCATCACGTCGGAGAACGTGGCGGAGAGGTTTGGCGTCTCCAGAGAGAAGCAGGACGCCTTCGCGCTCCGCTCCCAGCAGAAGTAAGAACGTCTCAGCAACACGCAAGAACCTCCTGCTCCATGTTTTCACTCCACGCGTGACATAAATAATCCGCTCGGTCCATCCCCACTTTAAGGCCGGCCCCCTTTAACTTTCCTCTGATTGGCTGCCTCCTGGAAGCTTCTGCCCCCTCTTCCGTGACATCACAGAGATGCAAGAGCAGAAAAAACTTGAGTGTTTAGAGCCGTCGAGTCAAACAAACTGACACGGTCCTTCCTCCACACAGTGCAGCGCGGGCGCAGAGGGCGGGTCTGTTCGACCGCGAGATCGTCCCCGTTACCACCAAGTTTGTGGACGACGAGGGCAAAGAGCGTCAGGTGACGGTCAGCAGAGACGAGGGCGTGAGACCGGGGACGACGCCGGAGGGGCTCGCCAAACTGCGGCCGGCCTTCAAGCCCGACGGCAGCACCACAGCAGGTCAGAGTTCGGGCGGGGCCGCGGAATGAATCTCGCTCGGCCGCCAGGAGCTCACGTGCTCGTTTGTCTCAGGTAACTCCAGCCAGGTGAGCGACGGCGCGGCGGCCGTCCTGATCGGTCGCAGGTCTGCGGTCGAGGCGCTGGGTCTCCCGGTGCTGGGCGTCCTGAGGGCCAGCGCGGTGGTCGGCGTCCCTCCTGATGTGATGGGCATCGGACCGGCGTACGCCATCCCTGCAGCTCTGCAGCAGGCAGGTAGGAAGTGTTTGTGCGCTGACGTGTCCTCCTCGCACTTCAGATTAGGATTCATGAAAGACGTAATTAATCTTTGTTCCAGTATCGTTAGCATGTTGCCTACAGCTTCCTCCTCCTAAAGCTGGGAGGCGGGGCTTAGCTCACCCGTGACATGGAGGATGTGCAACTGTTTGTCCAACATGTGTGAGTTCTTCTCTCTGCAGGACTCTCTGTGGAGGATATCGATGTGTTTGAAATTAACGAGGCCTTTGCAAGTCAGGTGAGTTCGAGAGACGACGTATCGCTTCATGCAGGTAGCTGCTCTCGCCAAACGAACACTCCTGCCAGCAGGGGGCAGCATTTTGTATGTGAGTCTATATATGTGTCCCTTTTTTAGTCTTATTCACAGGTCGCACACCAGTGTGGTGGGCAGCACGGCTGCACCACAGCGAGAAGGCGGGGCTTCTCGCTGTGTTAACCCCACTGACTGTCCAAACAGTCAGTGGGGTTAACTGGTGATTCTAAATTGTCCAAAGGTGTGAGGCCACCTGTCCAGGGTGACCCCGCCTCTTGCCCTATGGAAGCTTGGATTGGCTGTTAAGGATACGTGGAAGAGAATGGATGGATGGTCTTACTGACCAATCAGAGTCAAGCATGATAACATTGTGACTCTGTGCGCCACCTTGTGGTACAGTGTTGCAGTGCGAGTTCAGCTTCAGTATCTCTGTAACACAGCACAGATAAAATATGAAGTCGTAGCCTCATCAAAGCTACATGCAGGAGTTTACCCTTTGACCTCTCAGTCTCCAGACTTCATTTGCTTTTGTCTTTTTAAATAAAGATTATCACTTTAACCTTTAACCTTTGGCCCCCACGTCTGTGGCGTTTCCTCTCAGGCAGTGTACAGCGTGGAGAAGTTGGGGATCCCGCCGGAGAAGGTGAATCCGAACGGTGGCGCCATCGCTCTGGGTCACCCTCTGGGCTGCACCGGCGCCCGGCAGGTGGTGACGCTGCTCAACGAGCTCAAACGCAGAGGCAGGAGGTCGGTGTCGACGGTCACGCGCTCGCCTCCTCGTACGTTTGAAAACGCGTTCTCAGTGTCGCCCTCTTGTGTTCCCCGCAGGGCGTACGGCGTTGTGTCCATGTGCATCGGGACCGGGATGGGAGCGGCCGCCGTCTTTGAATACCCCGGAGCGTAGCTGCTCAGACCGACCCGTCACGTGACCAATGGAGTCGACCTTCATGTTAACCTGTTAGAACATTTCTAACTGCAGCTGATTCAGTGCCTTTGTTTCCTGATGATTGATCATTGATAAACCAGCAAAGATCAATAACTCACATTTACTTCCTGTTAGCTGAGCTGCTCGGCACGATTGTGACGTTCAGAGCTGCATCAGGTTCAGCTCAGGTGTCTCAGTGACTCTGAAGGACCGACGAGTGACTCTGCCTGTAATCTCTGTCAGAATAAAACATTTCCACATCATCTGATGTCCTGTTTCGCTTTCAGCTTGGGCTGTTTAGACTTCACCGTCTGTTTCATGGCAGTTCTCTTACCACCAGGGTGCGCCGTTAGTGAAACGTCACAGTTTTCACACTGAAGCATCATCAAGGTCTCGTGTTTATTCTCGCCACCTCTGAGGTGGATGTGATCAGGTAACTTGGTAACGGAGGGCATATCCTAGCAGCGTGACTCTGCAGTGCTGGACTGTGTTTGTAGGTTTTCTCCCCAACAAACAACAATGTCGACTAAACGTTTTGCACCATCAAAGGCAGCTGTGCAGTAGCACCTGAAAGGCAGAGGACGATGCTAACCATTGCACAGAAAGTTGGACTTCTCAACATGCTAAGAGAAGGTAGAAGTTACTGTTCTTGCTTCCTCTACTTCCATATCATTGATTCATTAATGCTGAATTCTCTGCAGCTGATCTACTCTCATGTTCTGGACCTGAAAACAGGGTTTGATCTTTGGTTTCATCCTATAATACGGAACTTATTTGTCTACAAAGGTTTGAACTTTGAGAGTTTAAACGAGAGAAAAGTGTGAAAATGTTCGTGCCTGTCTGAGAAAAGAGTATAAAGTGTGCAGTGAGGGGTTTGGCAGCCTTAAAACATCTATAATCATTGTAAAACATAAAGTTGGCTACTTCGCGGATTTCACCTATCGCAGCTTATTTTTGGAACGTAACTCCTGCGATAAACGAGGGACCGCTGTACCACCCTACCTAGATCTCTTGCCCTTTGACCCCCAAATTTTCTTGATTCTTTTCTTAAAAGAGTAGTTGTCAAACAGCTAACAGATCATCTGCAGAGGAATATTTGAAGAGTTTCAGTCAAGTTTCAGAGCCCAGCACAGAAACTGGCTGCAGGGCTGTCGTCGCTGCGACTCCCTCTGCGATCCTGTTTCAAGGCCACCCTTTTCCCTTCCAGCTACAATATCCCCGTTGCATACCTAACCAGACCCTCTTTTCCCAGTAACCTCTGCTGTTCAATAAAAACTCTTGTAAATATTTACAGTGTGTTTGTGTCTGCGTTTGCGTGCAAACCTCAGGTTCATGACAGGATGAATCGCCTGCTCGGCAGGAGGAAAACAGGAAGACACCGGCTTTATTTTGTCCAAAGCAAATGAAAATCCTCACCTGTCTCTGGCAGGAAGGCTAACTGTAATG